TTTGAGAAGAATTTCAAAAGTTTTGAAAAGTTTGAAAAGATTCAGTCTTGATTCATGTTCTACACTGCAGGTTCACAGCTCAGCTATGATTCTGCGTAAATCTGTGCAACAGATTTGTCTGAACCCAGAACTGATTCAGGTTGATTTCTACCAATCTGTGCCAAATCAGTATTGGATTAAGGCAGCTACAAATCACTACAGAGCTGGTCAGCTGGACTTAAATCAATATATAGCAATTTGTGCTAAACCAGAAATAAATAAAAGTCTCTCAAAAGACAGACAGACTGTCTCCAATGTGTTGTAGTTATCCATTACAACACCATATAAGGAGAATGCCAGGGTGGGAAGAGGAAGAAGTGGGAAAATAGACCCTGATCAAGCAGGGGGTGGTGGTGGGTATAAGCACATGCCCCAGATGACAGATTAGGACAGAGGTTTTCAAAATTTTTGAGTCCATGGCTCCCTTAACCAACTACATTCTTTCTGCAACACCCCGTCACCCCTTGCCTGCAGAGCTGGCAGCCTCTCACCCTTTTTCGAACACCCTCCCTTGTGGTGTGCTCCCTCAGCCTCCTCTCCTGTCTCGTCTCCTTGGGAGTCCTCTGCACTCCCTGGTCTGTGAGCTGCCCCCGCCCTGCCCCAAAGAGAGCCGGGGCTGCTGCAACAAACAGCTGTGCAAGCCTTCGGAAGGCAAAGACACAAGATGGCATCCAAGGAGGGAGGGAAGGAAAGAGGGACAGAGCCCAGTGTTGCCCATGGCACCCCTGATCATCATTCAAGGCACCCCAGGGTGCCACGGCACACTGGTTGAAAACCACTGGGTTAGGAGGTGGTGGCAAACAGCATTCTGCCCTGCCATTGATGATGATGTGGACATGGTGTGGGAGAGGCGAAAGGCCAGTGTGTTGCAGCAAATGCTCAGTGACTCCTCTCCCTCTCTCTGCGCTGCTCCCTCCCCAATCCATTCATGGTGAGGCTCACGGGAGAGAATAAAGAAAGGGAGAAGCTGTTGTGGCAGGGAAAGAGGCAATGGTTGTTGGAGCATTGTGGCAACCTGTGCCAATTCAGATGCCTCTGAAGATTTTGTTTCCCAGCTTGGCACAAGGGTTTCTAAGGGAGAGGTGGCAGTCCTCATCCACATTTCAGCACCAGGTACCATTTTGAAACAAAATGGCAAGCCAAAACGTGAGTTTGCTGGGATTTTGCCCAATATTTTTGGGTGATGGGTCGAAACCGTGCCTGTACGAATGCACCAATGTGCATAGGAACAGCTTGCAAATAGCAGCATCCATTTAAAAACACAAATGTTGTATTCCTCCACCCCCACCCCCCCAAATCCAGGCAGCATGGGCACTCCAGTGTGGTATAGTGGTTAAGAGCGGTGGACTCGTAATCCGGTGAACCGGGTTTGATTCCCTGCTCCTCCACATGCAGCTGCTGGGTGACCTTGGGCTAGTCACACTTCTCTGAGGTCTCTCAGCCCCACTCACCTCACCGAGTGTTTGTTGTGGGGGAGGAAGGGAAAGGAGATTGTGAGCCGCTTTGAGACTTCTTATGGTAGTTATAAAGCGGGATATCAAATCCAAACTCCTCTTCTTCTTCTACTATGTGTCTGCCTGCCTGCCTGTCTTTCTACAAACACACACTTCAACCAGATGTTAGTCATGCGTGTGCATGTGTGTGAGTGTGCGCATGATGGATCTGTGGCTACCATCTGACTGAAGAGTACGGTGCCTCTGAGTACATGCATTTCATGAGCACTGTACAAATTAATTTGATGCCCATGCCCATGGAATTAAAATTAAGGACTCTTTGAGGCAGATTTGATCCTCAACACCTATCCTGTTACAATCTAACCCTTGCTCCTTTTGCTTGCATTTTGTTGTGCTCTGGTCTGCTTCCACCTGGGCCACTGCAATCACCCAGAGAGCACCCTTTGTACTGCTTCCTTCCCTATCTCTAACAGGGGGTGGTAGTGGTGGTGGGGAATTCTTTAATGACAGAAAGTTATTTAGTGCAGCATGGAGTTAATTGCTTCTAATCACTGCTTACATCCATCTGGTTTTATGGTAGACAACAAACCTCTTCATCGGATTTGCTCATTAGGCATATTGTAAATCACAGAAATACTCTGGCATCTCACATATTGTGATCCTATTAGCCAGGCTGCATTTCTTGTGTAGCCATGAAAACAAAGGAGCAGCCACAGCAGCAGTGTTGCTGCCGGGACACAGTCTGATCGGGTTCATATTTTTCTGCTTGTCAAGGGAGACCAAGGAACAACCTCTTTTTCTGGCTGCCTTGGAAGATCTTGCAAAGTTAATGTTCATTTAGGTTCAAGGTCGAAAGAAAGCAGGAAAACTGCCAATGTTTATTAGCATTGCTTATTGGCATTGCCAATCTGTAGGTTAAGAGTTTGTATGGCTGACTCTCTAGCAGTTGCTGCCTTTTCTTGTTTGCAGCAGGTAAGAGTGAGTTACCCATGTAGTGTTACCAAGGCAACTTTGCAGTCTCTTTCCAGGTTTTCATATTTTCTAAGGCCAGGCCGTTTTTTCAACCGGAACTCATGGGAACGCAGTTCCAGCACCTTTCAGGTGAGTGCCGTTGCCATTATACGACAACAAGGTTCATGGTGAGTTCCAGCATCTTTTTTTCTAGAAAAATAGGACTGTCTAAGGCAGGGGTCAGCAAACTTTTTCAGCAGGGGGCCAGTCCACTGTCCCTCAGACCTTGTGGGGGGCCGAATTATATTTTTTAGGGGGAAATATGAAGGAATTCCTATGCCCCACAAATAACCAAGAGATGCATTTTAAATAAAAGCACAAGTTCTACTCATGTAAAAACACCAGGCAGGCCCCACAAATAACCAAGAGATGCGTTTTAAATAAAAGCACACATTCTACTCATGTAAAAACACCAGGCAGGCCCCACAAATAACCAAGAGATGCATTTTAAATAAAACAACACGTTCTACTCATGTAAAACACTCTGATTCCCAGACCATCCGCAGGCCGGATTTAGAAGACGATTGGGCCGGATCTGGCCCCCGGGCCTTAGTTTGTCTACCCATGGTCTAAGGGCACACCCACACAATAAATTTAAAGTGCCTTTATTCCATTTTAAGCACCAAAGCTTCTTCCCAAGAATCATAGGAACTATAATTTGTTAAGGTCTCCTAACAACTTTCCGTTCCCTTAGCAAACTATGGTTCCTAGGATTTTTGTGTGTTTGGGGAGGGGGAGCCATGAATTGGTGCAGACCACACTAATCTGGGTGGGAGGTAACTAACAGAAGACAGAAACAGGATTCAATATGTTCTTTATGATGGAGAACAAGGCCAAGCTGAAGTTCAGCAGAGAGAAATGTAAATTTGTGTACAGTCATACCTCGGGTTGAAGTAGCTTCAGGATAAGTATTTTTGGGTTGCACACTGCGGTGACCCGGAAGTAACGGAGCTCGTTACTTCCGGGTTTCGCTGCTCGCGCACGTGCAGATGGTCAAAATGACGTCACACGCATGCGCAGAAGAGGCGAATCACAACCCCTGCATGCGCAGACACGGGTTGCGTTTGCTTCTGGATGCGAACGGGGCTCTAGAATGGATCCCATTTGCATCCAGAGGTACCGCTGTATTGAGGAAGGAAGCAGCAGCTAACTAAAGTAGAGGATAGGTGGCAGACTTTTTGAGAAAGGATCTAGGGGTTTTAGTAAACCACAAGCTAAGTGAGAGTCGGCATTGCGATGCAGCTGCTAAAAAGGCTAATGCGATTCTAGGATGCACCAACAGAAGTGTAGCATCCAAATCATGGGATATAATGGTACTGCCCTATTCTGCTTTGGTTGCTACTTGCTCGAAGTACTATGTCCAGTTCTGGGCACTACAGATTAAGAAGGATCTTGGCTAAGTGGAATGTGCCCGGTGGAGGATGGTAAAGCTGGCGAGAGGCACAGAGACTATGAGAAAAGGTGGGAGGAGATGGGTATGTTTAGCATGCCGAAGAGTTGGTGAGGATCATTTGACAACAGTGAGAAATTGAAGCATTAGTATCATTGGCCCAGTCCTGTGGGATGCTCTGCCAATCGAATTTAGTGGGCACCTTCTGTGCCAACTTTTAAATGCTTGCTGAAAACTTTTCTATTCCACTAGGCCTACATAGGCATTTAAGAATACAGTTGTACCTTGGATCTCAGACGCCTTGGGTCCCCAACAAATCGGCTCCCAAACAATCAAAACCCGGAAATGGGTGTTCCGGTTTTCAGACGTTCTTTTGGAACCTGAACGTCTGACGTGGGTTCTGTGGCTTCTGTGGAAGCTCCTGCAGCCAATCAGAAGCCACACTTTGGTTTTCGAACGTTTTGGAAATCGAGCAGACTTCCAAAAAAATTTTATGGCTTTATTTTATGGCTTTATGTTTTCATTGCTGTAAACTGCTTTGAAAGATATATTTTACGATACAGCTGTTTGCAATTTTTTTTTGCAAAAAATTAGATGTTTCTAAAAAATTGAAAAAAAAATGCATGTTTCACTAAAAGAGCACTGTACATATTTGACCCAACTAAAATGATTGGTGCAGAAATCAGAGCTATGGAATTACCAAAGTAACAAAGGTCTAAACGACTCCAGTGGTGAAAACTCTTAAATACAGAAAAGCAGTGACTGTGTTGATGCAGCAGTTAAGATAAGAAGATATTAAGTGATACCTAAAAAGGGAAAAAAAATGTGGATAGTTTGAGAAAAGTTCTTAATAATGTACAATGAAGAGTGAGTGCACAAATTGCTCTGTTCCAGCAATTAACCCTAAATTACATCCATATTTTCTAATCAGTGCTGGGTCACATTTAGAAGTGAACTTTCTGTTATTGAAAAAGGATGCTGTAAACAGAGGAGGAGTTTTGTTCATGTATAGCAAAAAAAATGGCATAATCCTTCAGGATTGAAAACATCATTTTAGCACAGTATCTATGACTTATGAAGACATCGAGGAGGTGAATTCTTTATGAGGAAGGACTGTAGCTCAATGGTAGAGCAATTCCTTTGCATGCAAAAGGCCACGGGTCCAATCCTTGTCATCTCCAGGGGCAGCTGAGAAGGACTCTTGTCTGAAATCCTGGAGGGCTTCCACCAATCAGTGTTGATATCAACACTGAATGCTGGAAGATTCAGGACAGAGAAAAGAGCGAAATTCTTATAGAATCATAGAATCATAGAATCATAGAGTTGGAAGAGACCACAAGGGCCATCGAGTCCAACCCCCTGCCAAGCAGGAAACACCATCAGAGCACTCCTGACATATGGTTGTCAAGCCTCTGCTTAAAGACCTCCAAAGAAGGAGACTCCACCACACTCCTTGGCAGCAAATTCCACTGTCGAACAGCTCTTACTGTCAGGAAGTTCTTCCTAATGTTTAGGTGGAATCTTCTTTCTTGTAGTTTGGATCCATTGCTCCGTGTCTGCTTCTCTGGAGCAGCAGAAAACAACCTTTCTCCCTCCTCTAGGTGACATCCTTTTATATATTTGAACATGGCTATCATATCACCCCTTAACCTCCTCTTCTCCAGGCTAAACATGCCCAGCTCCCTTAGCCGTTCCTCATAAGGCATCATTTCCAGGCCTTTGACCATTTTGGTTGCCCTCCTCTGGACACGTTCCAGTTTGTCAGTGTCCTTCTTGAACTGTGGTGCCCAGAACTGGACACAGTACTCCAGGTGAGGTCTGACCAGAGCAGAATACATTGGCACTATTACTTCCCTTGATCTAGATGCTATACTCCTATTGATGCAGCCCAGAATTGCATTGGCTTTTTAGCTGCCACGTCACACTGTTGGCTCATGTCAAGTTTGTGGTCAACCAAGACTCCTAGATCCTTTTCACATGTACTGCTCTCAAGCCAGGTGTCCCCATCTTGTATTTGTGCCTCTCATTTTTTTTGCCCAAGTGCAATACTTTACATTTCTCCCTGTTAAAATTCATCTTGTTTGTTTTGGCCCAGTTCTCTAATCTGTCAAGGTCATTTTGAAGTGTGATCCTGTCCTCTGGGGTGTTAGCCACCCTTCCCGGTTTGGTGTCATCTGCAAATGTTCCTCTTTGTTTCTCACTTTGTTTCTCAGTTCCTCTTTGTTTCTCACTTCCGCAACTTTAAATCCAGTATCACATTTCTGCATTAGTGTGCATTTGTTAAAGGTCCTCAAGTTTTCTTCCCTCTCTCTAATTTTCCCCACAGTGAATGGTGACCATTGCCTTATAAGAAGGAAAGCATAGGGTGTTGTGAGCTCTGGAGCACTGCTGGGGGTGAGACATGCAATCTTACTCCTGGTGACAGAAATGTCAAGTTTCGCCATTTCTTAAAAGTGTCCTGGATTACAGACTGTTGGCTTACCTAGGTCACATCTGCACCTTACATTTAAAGCATTATGATACCACTGTGAAAAGTCATTGCATTCCTCAAAGAACTCTGGGAGCTGTCATTTGCTAATGGTGCTGAAAGTTGTTAGGAGACCCCATTCCCCTCCCAGAGCTACAAATCCCAGAGTGGCTTAACAACCAACACCACTTCCTTGGGAAACCTAGCAATTGTAGTTCTGGGAGGGGAATAGGGAGTTTCCTAACACCCCTAGTTTCCAGGATGCTTTGGGGGAAGCCATGACTGTTAAAGAGGTATAAGAGTGCTTTAACTGTATGGCAAGGATGTGTCCTTAGTCCCATAGAACCCCAGGAAGTGTTGCTCCCTGCCTTGGGGTGTGCATGTGTCCCACTTTGTGAGATGGAAACATGATGAGACATAATGCATAAAATAAAATAAAAACATGGAATGAGATCTGAGCCAATTCCTGTCTGCATAACCTCATCCCTTTCAATTGCTGGAATGTGACAAACTGTTGGAAGAAAGTGACGGAATGGTGTTTCTTTCATTATGGAAAAATGGGATTTGGATATAGGTGTTTGGTCAAGACTGTGGGGCCCTGGAATACTGTTCTGGATCTGAGCTCCTACAAAGCTCTGACATCTGGCCCTATTCAGATGAATTTCTCTCCAGCAGTCTCATCCTGCTATCAAAGTTTTCGCTGTCCACTGATTGGTTGGATGCTTTGAATAATCAATCCCCTGGCCATTCAAATGAGCATGTTTGCCTTGTACATCATCTTGTATTTCAAAGTGTGAGTTGTCAAGTTACAATCCCGGGATCCTCCCTCATATTTATCAAAGCAGACAAGCTTTGTCTTGGATAAGAAAGCGGCCTTGATGTCTTCATAAGGAATCAATGGCATGTGTGAAGGGGTTGGCCACCCTCTCCTTTTTTTAAGGACAAGCATAAACAAAAGCTTCGATCACTACCTTATGCAGATTGGGAGGCTCGTCACCCACCCCGCCGTCATGGCCGCCAAACACATTGCTCGATGTGGCATGATGGATGGAGCAGTGGTGATGAATGGTCCATGCTATGGCATGCCATTAGAGCAGATTTCCATCAAGAAGACAGATGGTCCTGAAGCTGAATGTTTAAATTTATCTTTGGCTTAAAGGTGTTAAAAGTAGTGTTGCGTATGGCAGTAAAACCAAACCTGCCAGGTGCCAGGAAGTCTTCATGAGCAGGAGTGCATTGCAAGTTTGAGAGCTGGTTTATTTGTGTTTTAATAACAGAGAATTCTTGCGTCTGTTGGACCTTCTGCCTCCATCTATGTCTCTGCGAAGGCTTTTTGAGCTCTTGGGCTTGAAGCACTTTTACCAGTCTCATATATGTTTGGAATGGTATGGTATAAGGCAGGCTTCCCCAACCCAATGCACTCCAAATGTCTTGGAAAGTGACTCCCAGCAGCCCCAGCTTAAGAGGGGACTTTTGTTACACAGCTTCCTTCACTTCTCTACATTGGGATGGGGAACCTCCGGCCTAAAGCAGCACACTAGAGCTCTCTATCTGGGTCTTAGAACTCCCTCGAGACCACACCCTTGCAGGCCCTGTTGGCATCCCATTTGTTTTTGCATAGCTGGAATGTGTCCTTGACTGGAACAAGCTGGTTTGCTCCTGCTCTGCAGGGCAGGACCCGAACCAATGGATTCAAGTTACAAGAAAGGAGATTCATACTTAGCACCAGGAAGAGCTTCCTAAGGGTACGTGCTGTTCGACAGTGGAATGGTCTCTCTCGGGAGGTGGTGGACTCTTCTTCCTTGGAGGTTTTTAAGCAAAGGTTGGGTCGTGGATGCTTTAATTGTGTTTCCTGCACTGCAGGGAGGTGGACTAGATGACCCTCGGGGTCCCTTCCAACTCTACAATTCTATGATTCTAAGTTGTCTAATTTTCAGGGGCCTCAATTTAGGAGAGGACATAGTGATGTATGGAAGTGAGAGCTGGACCATAAAGAAGGCTGATCGCTGAAGAATTGATGCTTTTGAATTATGGAGCTGGAGGAGACTCTGGAGAGTCCCATGGACTGCAAGAAGATCAAACCTCTACATTCTGAAGGAAATCAGCCCTGAGTGATCACTGGAAGGACAGATCCTGAAGCTGAGGCCACCTCATGAGAAGAGAAGACTCCCTGGAAAAGACCCTGGTGTTGGGAAAGATGGAGTGCACAAGGAGAAGGGGACGACAGAGGACGAGATGGTTGGACAGTGTTCTCGAAGCTACCAGCATGAGCTTGACCAAACTGCAGGAGGCAGTGGAAAACAAGAGTGCCTGGCGTGTTCTGGTCCATGGGGTCACGAAGAGTTGGACACGACTAAACAACTAAACAACAACAATATATTTCTGTGGGAACGGGCAGATTTTCCACAAGTTTTAAAAGCCTGCTTTTGTGTTAGGATGAAATTACAAAGGGTTGTCTCCAACTAAATTCTACTCAGCCCCATGCTCTAATGACCAGCATTGGAGACAACCCTCAAAAGGCAATATATAAAAATAAAATGCTACCTGTGTACCAACAAGCCAAAGAAAACCCAGCTCCCTATGGCCAACGCCACTGGAGGTGTACTGGATCTTCCAACACAGCTATGGGACATATCAGAAGGATAACTGCAAACCATTTGGAGGTCTGGTTTGATGAGGGCTCCCTGTTTCCTATTCCCATTCCTTTCAGCCAACTTCCCAGGGATATTGACCTCCCTGGTTAGCTAGGCCGCTGGATTAGCAACGCTTGGGAGCTCCCGTTTCCCCAACCGCCTGTCGGCCAGTCTGGACATTTGGAGCGAATTCCTGCAGTTCTGCATGTGGGGCTTTGTGAGAAATTGCTGTTTGTTCCAATGTGATGTTCCTTTCTCTCTCTGCCTGTCTCTCCCCCCGCCAACCACCCCCAATTCTATTACACGGCCACTCGGTTTAATAATAATTGCCATGTGGGCCTCCAAGCCCACTGCCAAAGCCTTGCTCATCCAAAGTCATTTGGTGAAGGAGTCCATTATGATCAAGGCTTGCAGTGATAAATTCCCTGCGATGGTGGCAGCTCACAGCAGCCTCCTCTCATAATGACATTCTGCTCTGCTTGGCATGGAGCCCTAGGCGAGAGAGCAGCTCCCCCAAAATAACAAAAATGATGACAACAGCAGCCGAGGCAGCAGCTTGATGAACACAAGGAAGCTTTGGAGGAGCAGAAGGGAGGGATTGTATCTCCCAATATCCTCCCGCCCAGTGACCTTTGCTCCTCCAGCTCTTCTGCAACCACCTAAAGGTTTCCTTCCACCATCACCCCTGCTGCCCATTATGCCTGCAACTTACTCCCCCCAGAACATTTATGTGATGCTACCTGTCTCTCTTCCTTCAAAATATGCTGGGAAGCCTTAGTATTTGTGCTGGGCCCGGGGGTTAACCCAAGCAACACGGTCCAGGTCCGGTCCCGAATCAAAGGATTCCACGAGGAGTCAGTCCGACAGGGCCCAGGCAGGAAACCAGGCTAGGTTGGGCGCAGGGTCTCAGGCAGGTTCTAGCAAACAGCAATGTTGCTCCCGCAACCTGGGGCAGGGTCCGACAGCCTTTTATCTCTGTCGGGGTAACAGCCAGTTCTGATCCCCCGGCGACTCACCTCCTTGTCACGCCCAAAGGCGAGCACTCCTCCTGCGAGTACTCAGGTCTCTCCTTCTCTCAGAC